TCCTTCAGCAGTTTTCAGGTTGTACTTGCAATGACAACAAGCACAGAGTCCGCGGGTGAGAGATTTTTCAGGTTGTACTTGCAGTGACAACAAGCACAGAGTCCGCGGGTGAGAGACTTTTCAGGTTGTACTTGCAATGACAACAAGCACAGAGTCCGCGGGTGAGAGAGTTTGAAGAGAGAAATTCGCTGAGAGTATTGTTTGTTTGTTTGTTTTGAATTTCGCGCAAAGCTACACGAGGGCTATCTGCTCTAGCCGTCTCTAATTTAATAGTGTAAGACTAGAGGGAAGGCAGCTAGTCGTCACCTCCCACCGCTAATTCTTAGGCTATTCTTTTACCAGTGAATAGTGGGACTGACCGTTACATAATAACGACCTGACGGTTGAAAGGACGAGCATGTTTGGTGGGACGGGGATTCGAACCCGCGACCCGCAGATTGGGAGTCGAGCGCCCTAATCACCTGGCCACGATGTTAAATGCAAAGAAAAGGCTAAACTCGCTGTAAGGAAAAGAGAAATACACGGTCAGTGTCTTTTATCGGTATTCAAACCAAGGACTTCAATGTAGCTTTGAATGTATATTTCTCTTACGCCGATTTTTAGTCTTCTTGTTTTTCGTTTTATCTTAAACTGATTTTTAACTTTTCCTTCACACGTCTAAACTTCATCACGATGAATCGTGCTCGTCTTAAACTAAAACTTATTGCTAGAGCTATACAGCGCTATTGTGCCAATTCCAAGTAACTAAACTATGGCTGTATAACTGTAGTTTACTTCTGTATCAGTTCCAGTTAAACACTTAATATTTGTCTCTATAACTATAGTTTCCTGTTGTGGCAATTCCAACTAACTAAACTATGGCTGTATAACTGTAGTTTACTTCTGTATCAGTTCCAGTTAAACTATTAATATTTGTCTCTATAACTATAGTTTCTTATTGTGCCAATTCCAAGTAACTAAACTATGGCTGTATAACTGTAGTTTACTTCTGTATCAGTTCCAGTTAAACACTTAATATTTGTCTCTATAACTATAGTTTCTTACTGTGCCAATTCCAAGTATACAACAAAACTTTGGCTCTAAAACTATAGTTACCCTCCGCCACCGAAGTGAACATGCAGAGGTTATGTTTTCTCCTCTGTGTGTGTGTGTTTGTCAGCAAGGTTTCTCAAAAACGGCTGAATGGATTTGGAGGAAAGTTAGTATAAGTTTGGACTATGACTCAACTTAGAAGTGATTATTTTTTGGGAGGGTCAAGGTAAAATATCAAGGTCACAGCAATGTCGCGAAAATCTAAAAAAAATCCCTATCTGTTAACATGAGAACTGATTTTTCATACCATTTTTGCTGTATAGTTCAGTCAAAAATAATCAGATTTTGATTAAACTAGGTGGACATATGTAGCATGTTATTCCTCATTGTTCTGTCGAAAATGGTGCGTGTCCGTTGATAACGACAGACATACGGACATTTTCGTATTTTTTGAGAGCCGAATGTGATTAACGCTGCGTGGCGGAGGTGTGCTCTCAACTGAGTGCCCCTCCATGTTTTTACCGTGCCAGATTCAAATAAACAACTGGACTTTGTATAAGTACACTGTCCTACCGCTAATGAAAACGAGCGAAAATAAATATGTAAGTATAATATTAGAAATTTACTTCGCTTTCCTCTGAAGAATCTTTCAATATCTAACTCGATATCGGTATCAGTCATTTAGGCTTATCAATATTTTATTAAAATTACAATTTTAATAAGCGCCAAGCACAGGCCTAGGACGATATCACACTGTGTGTATGTAAGCCTACTCGGGAGGAAACACTCGCATCTTGACAAATATATGTATCTATTAGCTTTAAATTTCAAACATACGATCCTAATGTGTTATTCTTATAAAATTACCCATTCATTCTCACTTTCACGTCATTGATTTGTTGTTTTTTGTTTTTTTTCCACAAAACAGTTGAGCTGGAAAGGAAAACACATAAATTAGTTCTATATTCATTTTGTTTTGTACGAGACAATTGCAGATTTCTCACGAGGTGGCTGATAAACATAGGTTTATCACTCTTGTTATGATAATTAAAGTTATGGAATTTATCTCAGTCCATGAACAGTTCCCACATTCGGTGCCTAAAAGTAACTCGAGCTTCTACCGCTCTTGGATGTATTATTCATAACTTTCAAAATAGCATAAATGTATCCCAGTAATTGCAGTGTAATGATATATTTAATTAGCGGCCAGGTGGTTAGAGCGCTCGACTCGCACTCTGTGGGTCGCGGGTTCGAATCCCCGTCACACCAAACATGCTCGCCCTTTAAGCCGTGGGGGCGTTATAATGTGACGGACATTCCCACTATTCGTTGGTAAAAGAGTAGCCCGAGAGTTGGCGGTGGGTGGTGATGACTAGCTGCCTTCCCTCTAGTCTAAATTAGGGACGGCTAGCGCAGATAGCCCTCGTGTAGCTTTGCGCGAAATTCAAAAGTAAACAAAACAATATTTAATTAGCTGACACTAATTGGTCAATTTTAATTTTGCACAGTGCATACTTTCTTGAACCCCCCCCCCCCCAGTGGCACAGCGGTATGTCTGCGGACTTACAACACTAGAATCCGGGGTTCGATACCTGTGGCGGGCAGGCACAGATAGTCCATTGTGTAGCTTTGTGCTTGATTATAAACAAACAAGCTTTCTTGAAAAACAAAATGCCAGATTCCTGCTGATGATAATTTAAACCTTATTGAGGCTATTATCTGAGTTGGGATTGTAGTGTCTGTCAGATAGATATGAATTCGCAATGAAACCGAAGCCGTCTTGAAATTATAGTGTTTCCGCCTTTAGATTAAAACATTAAAAAGCAGCTAGCGATCGATATGTGTATTCAAGTTTGACTCATATACATGAAGATATGTTCCCATTTCTTCTTTTGGCTTCAATTTATCACTTCACACCCTACTATCATAAAATATATCATAACAAACAACAGAAAACAGTTAAAAAAAAAGGTCAACTTTTGTCATATTTCTATAACATTCCAAAGTGAAACTGGTGCCAGGTATGGCCTAGTGGTTAGGGAGCTTATTTTGATTTGCACCACGAGTATCGAAACCCGGGGTTTCTAGCGTTGTAAGTCCGCAGACATACAGCTGTGCTACTGGGGGGCATCACGACATTAACCCGGGGTTTCTAGCGTTGTAAGTCCGCAGACATACCGCTGTGCTACTGGGGGGCAGCACGGCATTAAAAATCGTAAATTAAGTTTCCATAATTTTCCGTTTAATAAGAAAATGTCTTTTTTTTGGGGTAGATATGTTTGTGGGTTGTTTTTTATTCTTTCATTTTCAGTAATGTTTTTTTTTTCCGATTTTCTCGCGAGTTACTCCTTGTAAACTTACGTGAATCAGCTCAGATGACTGATTTTCTCGCCAGTTACTCCTTGTAAACTTATGTGAATCAGCTCAGATGACTGATTTTTCCAGTTACTCCATGTAAAATTACGTGAATCAGCTCAGATGACTGATTTTCTCGCCAGTTACTCCTTGTAAACTTACGTGAATCAGCTCAGATGACTGATTTTTTCCAGTTACTCCTTGTAAACTTACATGAATCAGCTCAGATGACTGATTTTTTCCAGTTACTCCTTGTAAACTTACGTGAATCAGCTCAGATGACTGATTTTTTCAATAGTATGTAGGATTTTACAGGACAATAATTGTGAGGTCAGCAACTTTATCATAGGAATGCCAGGGAAGTTTACCTTATCTTGATCTTTACACCTCTTACAGGTTAATAACATGGACGTTTATCTTATTCTAATCACGATACAAGTTAATGGTGTGGACACTTATATTATTTTAATCACTATAGTTGTTACAACTTAGTACCAGGAAAGTTTATTTTATTTCAATATGTAAATATTAGTTAAACCTACAAATTATACTAAACGTGCTTGCAGTATTCCAACTTAGATACAATCTGCTTTACTGCTTCTCAATATGTCTTCAATTTCTGTACTCAAGAAATAATACAGTCATTTCAAAACTTCGAGAAAAACAGCCTTCATATTATGCCCGAAAGTGTACGTATAGAAAGTATGTGAATGAAGACGTTGATATTTATAACAACGAAGGATAAGTTCTGCGAAACAGTTTTAAAGACTAAAAAATGTCTTATGACTCATAACTTTTTATAGGAGGTATGATAAGAATTTA